ACGCCTCTGGCCCCAACGAACTCCAGGGAAGAGACCAATGCAAAGAGACAGGCCTCAAAATAGAGCACCAGACCAGAAGGGGAACCCCACCCAATTTTGTCAGGAGCATAACGTAGCCCGACCTTCCTGACATCAAAACCCCCCTGGAGCATGCTCCACCAGACCAAATGCAAAGCTGTTTCCATGTTAGGCGTATGTGACAACTATTACGCTACAGAAACCCTGTCCACACCTTACCATATCGAGTCCACGAGGCTCGATAGACTGACCCATGTACAAATCCGGCAATCTGTCCGACCAAGCGACCACACCTCAACCGGGCACGGAGTCCTTTCCAGCTCCACCCGTGGGCCGACCGCCCGAAAACACCAACCAGCGCAAACGAGAGAGAGTATCTGCCACTACAACGTGAATGCCAGGAACATGCTCTGCCCTACAAGACACATTTAGACATAAACATGAGAGCCCCAAAATGCCGCAGTAAGCCACCTACTGGAGGGGAGGAAGCTGCCAGACGATTGACTGCTTGAACCCCCACAGAGTGCCGCAGCGAAAAAACAACCCATTTATCCCGAAACTGGGAGCTCCAAATGCCACAAGCATGGGGAAGAGATCCCCGGACGCCCATTCCTTGCGAGGCTAGAGACATGCCAATCGTCCGGCCAACAGGCAGCACACCATCTAGGGCACAGAATCATCCCAAACCCAACCAAGCCACACCTCAGGAAGAGGTGTAGGACCGAGTTAGAGACCTCAGGCACCTGCCAGTAGGACCTGCCATCATATGCGGCCTGGACAGAGCTCCAGACCACCAGATCACCCCGCAGAGCCAGAGTCACCCGAACAAAGTGCCGGGGTCGGATCTTATGAAGCCCTAGTGCCAGCCATGTCCTGCCGTAAGCCACGAACCGGATGCGAGGCAAGAGGCTTAAACCCGCCACAGAATCAATCTCGATGCACCAACGTCCCGAAGAGATGCCCTCACGCACCTAAAAACCCCCCACAAATTCCTGACAAATGAAGAATCAAACAGTATTTCCCTTGCTCCTCCTTGGGCACCATGCCCAAGGGGGAGACCAGCCAGACCAGTAAAGGGGGGTCGCTAAAGGTACCGGCCATGCGACCCCAAGCATTGTTGACCACATGCAGGAAAATCCGGACCGACCAAAGATCAGAGCCAGCAACGAAGAAGGGATGGGGGGGGGGCGAAAGAGAAAGGAATCCAAAACCCTTGCCCACCACAATGATGGTTGCTCAACGGATCTTAGAACGGACGAGCCACGGGCACATTGAGCTTATGACAACTGGCGTCATTGCCCGTAGTACCCAGATCCCCTGTCTCACTAGCTTGTCCCCATCAGGAACACCGGGAGATTGGATGAGGACCCCCGCAGGCGGAGCATTCGGTGCACCCCATGCACAATGATTGTCAGTAAATGTACAACAACAGCCTGACCTATGCCGCACTGCCGGGGGGGCAGATGATCCGCCCCCACCAACCTCCCCAAGAAAGGACGAGAAACCACCCTGCTGCGGCACGGGTCATAATGGGGAGCCAAATGCCATATCCATATGTCCCAGAAAATTGAGGGGTGCACCGCCAAATGTTGACGAATTTGCTCGTCACACCTCCACCACAGGCATGACCAGCATTCCGAATGGTGTCCTGGTAGCAGAACAATGCGGAGCACTTGTGAGGCGCCTCTTCCCCAGTGACACTAGCCAGATTAAAACGTGCAAATCCAATAAGCGAAAGTCCTGGGGACCCTCTGGTAATGGATTGATCTTTTTCCATCTCTGACGCCTCGCTATCCTTCTCCCCCAGTGGAGGAGCTTCCTCCATTGGCAGGGGACAAACAATCTCAACCAATTCTCCCTTCCCATTTATTTTTTTGTAATTTCTTGCGACAGGTGAAAAAAAAACCCAGCATCCCAGCCCCAGCACATATAAGCGGACCCCCGCTCCACGTCAAAATCGCCCAGAGAGTCACACGTCATTGCAGGAACCGCAACGGCGCCTAATATCGTGCGTACCGTCACCAAAGGAACACTAGCAACACTAGGCATGGGCGGCCCATGACCCCTTGGCAGTCTGCACCACTTGAGGCCGGTGCTCGGCGGACCAAACCGGAAAGCTGACTACCTAAGGGGGACTCCCTGCACGCTTGCGCCCCCTATTCCCACTGACTCAGAAAACCCTGAAGACCCGATGGGAATCCCTCCAGCGAGGGACCCCCTGACTGTAAGGAAGAAATAACACCATACTCACCAGCTGATGCCTGTTGGGCAATCCGCGGCAAAGGAAATGAGGAAGAACCTGGCAGGATTGAAGTAAGTTTATTTTCAACACTATTCAGTCTTGCAGAAGTTCCAGGCGCCATCTGCTGGACAGCCCCAGGAATGGAGAGAGAGGGCTAAACAGGATAGAGGGGGCAGAATGGAGAGAGGGCTAAACAGGAGGGAGTGGGCAGAATGGAGAGAGAGAGAGCTAAACAAGGGAGGTGGCAGAGGAAACGAAACAGAGAGGCAGGGGGGGGGGGGAACCAGGGGAAGGGGCCCCCCCCAAGAGAGAACCGGGAGACGCCACAAGGTGGGGGAATGAGAGGGGGAAACGGTGAACAGATGCAGGGGGGGGGAGAGGGGGACGCCCCCCGGCCATCCCTTGGACACTGAGGAAACACATAACCCAGGGAGGACCCCCCTACAACCCTCAATGGCAGCACAGCCATGCCCCACATGGCCCCAAGGGGCCCACTCACCACTTCCGGCCAGCCGCAGGCCCGCTGACTGCGATCAGCCTGTGAAGGCACCCCAGGCTGTCCGTGCTGCACAGGCATTCTTCTGGCGCCCCGGCCCGCTGTCCATTGCCGGGGCGCGCAGTAAACTCCAGAGGGAGCAGGCCGCATGTCACAAGGGGGCAGATACACGGCCTGGTGGCGCCTGGGGCCCAGGCTCAGTCTCCCTACCAAACCCAATAGCAGCACAGCCATGCCCCACATGGCCCCAAGGGGCCCACTCACCACTGATGGCCAGCCGCACGTCCGCCAACTGCGATCAGGCTGGAAAAGTCCCCCAGGCTGTCCGGGCTGCATAGGCATTCTTCTGGTGCCCCCAGTCCGCTGTCTATAGCCAGGGGCACGCGGTAAACTCCAGAGGGAGCAGGCCACATGTCACAAGGGGGCAGACACACGGCCTGGTGGCGCCTAGGGCCCAGGCTCCGTCTCCCATACTGGACCCTAGGTGCTGAATCCAATCCAGGGAGAAGGAGGGCGGGTGCCTACAGGGCTGTAGCCACGTGGAAGGCCCCAGCAGAGGCCTGACCGCAGGGGGGGGGACCCACATTGGTGGCCACACCAGACTGGAGGGGAGCACATTGCTCCTGAAGGTGCCTGCTATCATCCAGGGCAGCTGCAGCTCTAAGGGCAGACAGGATTGAATCCACATCCATCCTCAAGCAGGTAAAGTCACCAGGTCCTGGACAAACAGGAGCACAGAGTCAGGGGAAGCTGTTTGCTGGCCAGAATCCCAACAGGCACTGAGGTAAACTGAACCCTGCCCCACTACAAACCCATAACCACTCCCCTAAACACATACAGCCAATCACTAGCACCATACCCACACTCATACATGTGCCCTTGTCCATTTAGTTGTACTGACTCCCCAAGGCCTTATGCATTGTGACTTTGATTTAAGACATTTGATGTAAAAATAAAGCTCTCTTGCTGTGTAATATTCTCATATTATATAAGATATATTCTTATATTTCTCTGCTAGAATTAGGCTAGTTAAGCAGATACCAAATGATGGAGTATTACAGTATCAATTAATACCTTTTTCACTATAACAATATTTTAAAATTATGAGCTTTCAGTAGTTGCTCTTATTTTTCATAATATATATAAAGAAAACTAATTATGCATGCACAGATATGAATTATTAAAAAAATATATTGTGTTTACTACTCTCATAAATTGGAAAAAATTTAGAGGTATAGCTTATAACAGCTAATATGCAATGTCGTATTTAAATATATGATCATTGCTAGTCTTCATAAATACTTATCAGTTCAAGTGATGTAAATATAACTTAATTAAGTATAGAATATCTCTGTTATTTTATTATCTGACACCGCCGATATTTCATGCAATGAAAAATGGTTCTAAAACAGATTACGATTTGAATACATTTAAATTAAGATGACAATAGCATCATTATCATCATTATTTATGTAGAGAACAATATCAATATAGCACAGAGCACTTGGTATGTTGAGGAAAGGTGATAAAAATGTAGCTTGACAGATTGAAACAAACTGCATACTGAAGGATTTCAGAGACATGTCCTTAACTGTTTGAACTTTGCTTTTTAAGTTTACTTTCCTTTTTGAGTATAAAGACAGAAAATCAAGGTCTGCTATCAATTGTGGTTAGAAATAGCCTTGAAAATTATAAATGTGAAGCTTTATCTAGTAGTCAAATTTAAGCCAACAAACCATGGAACAGGAAACAAGTTACTGCTGCTCATTGTTGTCGATATAGTCTATATAAACATCAAACAAGACATTTTGATAAAATTATTGCTCTCTACTGAATTACAAGTTTGGCAATAATTACATAACTATATGAATGTATATCATTTTATATGATAACCAAAGGGACACTAAGCGCTATAATTATTTTATAACATAGAATTAGTTATGGAACTGCTGCCTCTACTCCATGTTCAAACGATGTAACACTGCATGAAGGTCTCTGTCTGCCCCCAACCCAAGACCCTTGTAGATGTGGCTTTAGCAGGTTTTGATAGATAACTATTTTCAGCCTGAAACTCACAGCACACCTGTTGCAGGATGGAGGGAGCAGGCTGCACTCAAACTTTAAACCATTAAAAAATAGTTTAACACGGAATGAGAAGACTAGAGATGTCGCGAACCGTCCGCGAACATCTCGCGAACTGTTCGCCACGGTTCGCCACGAGCTGTTCGCCGTGAACTCCGGTCAGCTGACACGTCCCGGCCAATCTCCAGCAGACCCTCCCTCCCAGACCCCCCTACTTCCTGGACAGCATCCATGTTGAAACTGGACAGAATCTGTGTTGATGCTGTCCAGGAAGTAGGAGGGACTGGGAGGGAGGGTCTGCTGGAGATTGGCCGGGACGTGTCAGCTGATCGGAGTTCGCCGCGAACACCTCGTGGCGAACCATGGCGAACCATTCGCGAGATGTTCACGGACGGTTCGGGACATCTCTAGAGAAGACGACGACAGAGGACTCCAGACACTATAACCACTTCACTGAGTAGAAACAGTCACAGTGCCTAGCATGTCACTTTAAGAAATCAATCATTTTTTTATCAATCTTTTTAGAAATATGTAGCATTTATTATCACAGCAGAATAGAGATTTCATTCACAATTGTTTATATTATGCATATGCAGAAGTGCATTACTTACATAATGATAAATTACTTAAACATTATAAAATGTTATAAAGCATTTAACTAATTCGGGAGATTTTATTAAAATAAAAAATGGTGTGTTGGAAGAGAATGCCAAATCTATCTATAGACAAATAAAAAGCATAGTCATCTGGCCATGTTCAGCTGTGTTCCAATAATGGCATTGAATAAATATTTTTGAATAAGCTTATCAAATGATTGCATATGTCTGTAAACATTTTTAATACTATTTAATACTTTGGTGGGTTTTTTTTAGTATGCAGTTTTAGCATGCAGTACATAACAATACATGACATACGTGAAATAGATGATTAACAATATAAATGGATAATACAATTAATAATATTCCACTTCACCATTCTCTCAGATAAATTATAGGAACAATAGGAATATTTTAAACTGAAAAATAATTAGTGGAGGAGAGGAGAGAGAAAGGGAAGGAGATAGAAGAGAGGGAAGAGGGAAGAGGGAAGAGGAGAGAGATAACACGTTTTACTGCAATTGATCATATTGAAGGTCCATTGTATTAATAACAGTATACCTAATGGCGAAGGCTATTGTTTGATTTCAATAAATTACTATATCATTATATCATCTGTATCATGAGCCATTGCATAGAGATTAGTTTGAATCCAGCTGCTACAAATCTTAGTTTATGTTTTTATTTACAATAGATGTCTTACATTAAGTATCAAATATGAACTCGGCTGTCGAGACTTCGAATCTCCTTATTGGTTTGGTGAGGTGCCTCGCTTGGAGACCTCCCACATGTTCCAAACTGTTTCCCACAATTACATTTTTATGTGGGTGGTTGTTATAGAGGAGCATTCATAGATCTTTGTTTTTCTATTAATGGAGTACAATGTGACAGAAGTGGTGCCATAGTACTACGCCATTTTAGTTTAGTGTTGTCAGCGCAGTTATATTTATTTGGTATATTAGATATTTGGTTGATTTTGGTAATTTGGGTGGGTAATTATGTAGCAGTAGGCAATCTGGTGTTTTTGGGAGGATAATTACCATTACTGGTGGATACTTATATCCAATATTTAAACAGCAGGGGGCATTCCCACCAGATATGGAGCATACTTCCTATACCAGTTTTGCATCTCTAACAACATTTGGAGGTATTCAGCAAAGTTTGCTTGAGGTGCATTTGCACCAAGTAACAGCGATATGGTATTTTCCATGATATTTTCCGTGATATTTCCATATGGTTGGCGCTCAGTGTTAAGGTTTTGTGGGTCTTGAATATCTCCTGACAAGTGCCCTCAGAAAGAGCGAGATATAAATCTTTTCCCCAAGTCTGGACAACTGGGTATCTAGTGCATATTTGGTAGTTCTAAACATAAGAAAAGAATATAAAGACTTTTACTGCTGGTTTGAGTTTCAGTAAAATCTGTTAGAAGCTCATCAGCTGTTGTTTACTTTGCTATTTTTTGATATCTTGATAAATGTTATATGTATATTATATATATTTTTACATTCTAATAGTTTGAGAAATCCTTCTAAAAGTTTATCAGCAAATATTAGACCATAATAGCAACCTTACCCAAACTAGGCAAATCCCCAAACAAGTCCGAGAATTTACGCACAATTTCACTTTTGAATTCAGATCTGAAGATATTGACAAAAGTATATGCAGCAAGACTCACTAATATTATACCAGAATTGATACATGAGGATACACTTGGGTATGTGGGAGGTAGGCAAAGCTCAGAGGGTACACAGAAATTATTGAACCTTTTATATGAGCTGAGGGGAGGGAAAATACCCAGTGTATTCCTTTCTCTGGATGCTAAAATTTTCGGTTCGCGAACCGGGCGAACCGTCATAGACTTCAATAGGCAGTCAAATTTTAAAACCCACAGGGACTCTTTCTGGCCATAATAGTGATGGGAAAGTTGTTTCAAGGGGACTAACACCTGGACTGTGGCATGCCGGAGGGGGATCTCCCATGGAAAATTACATAGTTGATGCAGAGTCTGGTTTTAATCCATAAAGGGCATAAATCACCTAACATTCCTAAATTGTTTGGAATAACATGCTTTAAATCATCAGGTATGATGTTGTATCGATCAGGTAGTGTAAGGGTTATGCTCGCTTCAGAGTGACAGACCAAACTCCCCGTTTAACGCACCGCAACAACCGCAAACAGAGGCGGCTCTCTAAATAGGCGGTTTAGGCGGCTTGCCTGGTATACCGCCGGGTGCGAGGCCCCTCCTGGCTGCCCGGCCACCATCGCAGACACAGGTCTGCAGCTCCGCAGTGAGCAGAGCTGCAGACCATGTGTCTCGCGAGAATTGGCCAATCAGGACGTTGCCGCAGGTTACCACGGCAACGCTCTGATGGTCTCGCGATATTACACGGTCTGCAGCTCTGCGGAGCTGCAGACCGGAATAAGTGGCCACTGGACCACCAGGGAAGAGAAGGTAGGCTCCCTCACCACCCTCAGGCTCCCCCCACCAGCCTCCCCACCCCCCACCAGCCTCACCACCCTCAGCCTCACCACCTCAGCCTTCTCCCCCCACCAGCCTCACCACCCTCAGGACCCCCACCAGCCTCACCACCCTCAGCCTTCCCACCCCCCCACCAGCCTCACCACCCTCAGTCCCCACCCCCCCACCAGCCTCGCCTCCCCCCTCAGCCTTCCCACCCCCCACCAGCCTCACCACCACCCTCAGCCTTCCCACCCCCCCCACCAGCCTCACCACCACCCTCAGCCTCCCCACCCGAAGCTAAGCTGGAGGAGGATGGTGCGTCAAGGTTCCGAGCGGAAGCTGTAGAAGATTGGGTGTTCTGTCTTAGCCAGTCAACTATGTCCTCAGAACTTTTCGAGTTCAGGGTATGTGGCCTCTGAACACTGGGCATTATTCTAGGGCCAAAGGGAATCACAGCACCACGACCATGACGGCCCCTGCGGGGTGGCCTGTCTCTGCCATTTTTTTTTTGATTAGTGGTACTATGCGTGCAAGCTACTGTGACAACAGATATGAGTGGCACTGTGCAGTGGCAGAAGTTGGCAGAGTAGACGCTGTAGGCCTGACACACACACTTGCAGACAACTAACTGCTATTCAATCTATTACAGTCAAAATTTTTTTTTTTTAAATGTACACTACTGTTACACCAGATATGAGTTGCACTGGTGTGACACTGTGCCCTGGCAGGCCCTGAAATGCACACGCGTGAAGGAAACTGACTGCTATTACATTACAGTCCAAAAAGTTTTGTTTTTTTTAAATGCTGGTTGGAGGGTAGTGATGCTGAGGGTGGTGGGGGATAGTGAGGTTGAGGGTGTGGAGGGGTAGTGAGGCTGAGGGTGTGGGGGGGTAGTAAGGCTAAGGGTGTGGGGGTAGTGAGGCTGAGGGTGGAGGGGGTGAGGCTGTGGGTGGTAGTGAGACTGAGGGTGGTGTGGGTGGTAGTGAGACTGAGGGTGGTTGGGGGTGGTGATGCTGAGGGGGTGATGCTGAGGGTGGTGGGGGTGGTGATGCTGAGGGTGGTGGGGATGAGGCTGAGGGTGGTGTGGGGGGTGGTGATGCTGAGTGTGGTGTGGGGGGTAGTGAGGCTGAGTGTGGTGTGAGGGG